TGCCCGTTATTCTCCGCTTTTCCATTCCAAACTGGGAGCTGTTTTAGTTGCTGTTCCAGGGACAGAGTTAGAAGGACGTTGCATCAGAAGCTTGAGTTTCCAGTAATGACAATGAGCAGATGTATCAGATTTATCATGGAATGATATGCCCGTTATTCTCCGCTTTTCCATTCCAAACTGGGAGCTGTTTTAGTTGCTGTTCCAGGGTCAGAGTTAGAAGGACGTTGCATCAGAAGCTTGAGTTTCCAGTAATGACAATGAGCAGATGTATCAGATTTATCATGGAATGATCGGAGACTCTGAGTCTGGGTCGAGGGTCAGGGAGATGGCAGGTAGGCCATGACTGGATTCTTCAATTCAAGCCAGGACTCTTATGTCACCAAGTCCTTGTGTGCTGCCAGTCTACACTGCTCTGTTACTGGAGGCTGTGGTTTTTCCGGAATGACTTAGCCTCTGCACCTCTGCCACCTGCTGGTTTCAGATCCTCAAAATCTTAAGATTTTTGGCTGGGTCTCAGATTGCAAACCGAATGGCATTTTGGCTGAAACACCTCACCTATTCACTACCATTTTCTTCTTTAGTTTTCGATTAAAAGGCAGCTCTGCTAGTCACTGTGTCTTGGTTGGAATGGAAAGCCTTTGGAATAGCAGCATTCCTGTGTGTGAACGTGAGTAGAGAGAATGACACTGCAGACCAATCTCTGCCCTTAATTTGATTAGTATTTTGATCCACGGCCTCCCTTGCTGTGGCTCTTCTAGTCTGAATTATTGATGGAAAATCGCTTATTTTAATAATATTTTATTGTGAATCAATTCGTGCATCATCTGTTTTTAGAACCATCTGACAAGTCTCTGTCATTTTGAATTCTGTGTTTTATTGCGATAAATACTCTGGTAGTTTGCCTGTAAATCAGGAGAGATTAGATAATGTGAAGCTTTGACAAATTTCTTTCTTTCTTCCATCCCTTCCCTTCCCTTTTCTTTTTTCCTTCCTTCATCATTTTGTTCCCCATCATGCTACATTACTCTACAGTTTTTGTATTTATCTGCTAATATGCAGATATTAAACATGCTTTCATTCAGTCAATTATTTATTGGGTACATGCTACATGCCTGATGTACATCCAGGCACTAGAGTTATAGCAATGAATATTAGCAAACGAATGAGCTGATTCCCTCTCCCCATGTTGTTTATACGTAGGTGGGAGATGGAAAAGGAAAAATAAACAAATTAAATGCTATGGCGATAATAGATTAGAGCAATTCAGAAATGAGAGAAAAGTGGGGAGCAATGTTAGACAGGGGGAGCAGTTTGACTTCTTAAATTCTTAAAACATGTGCCTAAATAAATTATGCTAAGAGATTTATAAACAATAAGTTTATTTCAAAATGAGTCTTGTATGTGCAGAGTCACTGCTGATTTCTCCTAAGCTACCCATTTATATTTTCCCCAATGAAAGATAAGACTCTGCTTCATTTCTTAATACTAAAAATTGGAAAATATGTTTTTTGAAACAACCAAATTTTATTATAATGTTCAAGTTGCTAGAAATCTACTTGGACATCCTATGGTGCTTTTTATAATAGAATTTTATAAGAACATAACTTACAGGTAGATCCCTGCTATCCAAGAAACCTAGTGTTCCTCAGAGGAACATGACAAATGGCTGTCCTTCTGTCATGCATGAGAGCTGCTATTGATTGGACCACTCAGCCTTTCTCTTATTTTTCAATACTCTTACTAGTTGAAGTAGCTTCTTCCAAATTCCAAGCCTAATTAGAAATGCCAGTCAGAAGTGCAGAGCAGACTGTTCTAAATGAATAGTCAGATACCAGAAAGAAGTGACAATCTGAAGACTGACAGAAAGTAGAGAGAGAAAAGAAGTCATAAACAGACCCAGATATTTTAAAAAGCAAAGCAGTCTGAATCCATTTAGACTTTTTCACAATGACCTGTGTATGTTTCCATTCATGGTGACAGTGCTGCTGTAGTAATTGGGATTGATGAGCAACACCAATAAGTCATCAAGGAAAGGTTTTACCTATTTAAGGTGATGAGTAGCCATGAAATTCATTTTAGAAATATTTCCCAAGGATGTAAGCTCCTTAGAGGACAAAGATCTGGCTCCTCAACATACTCCCAGGGCCCTGATGAGTGGTTGACACAGAGTAAAGGCTCAATTGAGTATATGTAGAATAAATGAATGAGTTACCCTCCAAACTGGTTCTTTTTATTCTTTAACAGTTTGGTACTTAATTCAAGCTGTAAAGTTTCTATTATCCGGAAAAGTTAACTATCTGGAAGACTCAAGATAGGACAATTTGTTTTGCACTGTGCTTTTGCAATAGACTTTGATCGAGATTGTATTTCATTTAGTCCGTCTCATCAAAAGCCTAAGGTATACTGTCATCTCCTTAGCATTTTTTAGGTAGCACCAATCAGAGCATCCTATGATTGCAGAATGCCTCTGGTGAAAACTCCTCCATGAAAACTTAGAGCTCTCGCCTTCTTTCCAGAAATCTTTTGTCCGAGTCCTCCAGCTATCCCTAATGGGAGACACACAGGAAAACCTCTGGAAGTCTTTCCCTTTGGAAAAGCAGTACATTATTCATGTGACCCCCACCCAGATGGAAGGATGACCTTCCACCTCATCGGAGAGAGCACCATTCACTGCACAAGTGACCATCAAGGGATAGGGATTTGGAGCAGCCCTCCTCCCCGCTGTGGACTTCTGGGTTAGTATGCATGTCTCCACATCCCAAATGGGTCACAATATCTAAACCAGACCCTCCATATTTCTGTAATTACAGTATGGTATTCATTTGTGCACTTGACACAATTAAATCCCATACCAGTAATAAATGGTTCTAAGATAGGTCAATACATAAGATTCTGATGACCTTTGCAGCTGGAGGGGCTGGTGAAATGGGAGGGATATGGTGGGTGGTAGGAAGATCCTTAATTAGAATTAGAAGGAAAATATGCTTGAATCATAGGAATTGAAAACAAATACCCATGAATCTAAACTAGAATAAGTTATGCCATCTTCACGGGTTTTGGAAGGAAGCAGAGGCCAGCAGAGAACTAAGCCAGGCAAAATCGATTTCAATTACCTATTTGGCCTGAGACTCCTGTGTGTTCTCTTTGAAAATTGGGCTGCACTGTAGGCAAAGCATAAACATTCCTTAGTCTCCCTGGAGTAGGTTCTAAATTAAAATCAGGCATATTTGTTCCTTAGCCCTGCACTAATTTTAGCCCTTGAAGTCTTCCCATTTTGGAAGAAAGAAAAATCAAAAGAAAAAATGCAAAATAAAGAGATAGCATATTTCTAAGATCTGAAGATTGACTGAGACATCCCACCCCCCTAAGACATGCACCTTCAGTAAGTGAAGACAGGAAGGAGAAAGTAAATCACAGAAGGGACTTTAGTCCTGGCGTAACACACTGACCACTGGGGGACTCTCGGAGAAGAGCAACCCTAAAAGCGAAGGGACCAACTGTTAGTCACTCAGAAGCCATTGTGGCCCTCATCTCCTCGTCCAACACTATGGTTTGACTTGGAATGCACCTTTGAGCCTGTTTACAAAGGCAAATACCTAGTCCAGATATACTGAATCAACAGAGAGAGGCCACCTTCTAAGTTCTATGATATTTTTTCAGCAGACCCTAATCTGAGACTGCAGTCCTAGTTCTATCAGCTAGATTTTAGACTGGAGGCCTGACTAACCAACATCATGTGTGATTTAGCCTGAGGTGGTAGGTTTTAGTCATGATGTGAACTCTTGAACTAGAAGCTAATATTCAAGCTCTGCGATAAAAAGGAAACAGGCAAGGTAAATAGATAAATATCCTGTGACGACAACTTGAAAATAAGACAAATTTTTGTATTGAGGAAAAGTATTTAATGATGGGCAAGATATGAGAAACCAGCTTATAAATCCTACAGAGAACTCTCTTGTTATAGAATTAGCTCTAGTATGACTTTTATTCTTTGAAGAGACAATTGGAAGGGAGATGGAGAATCTAAGAGAGAAAGCATTGCCAAAGCCAAGTGTAAATGATTCCTATTTTTCCAAGCAAATATACTTTTCTGACATCATATGATTTGAATCCAGAGTTTTTACTCCTGGATCCTAGAGCTAATGGGCCATAATGGGTAATTAAGCTTAAGCTAAAATATGATTCAAAATATACTTTGCATAGTGTTTTCTTATAATGAGGACTAGTTTTTTATTGTTTTTGTTTTAAGGGGATGCTATTTGTTTCCTTTTTAAAATTGGATGGCTTAGGAGTTAGACCAAGAAAATTGGTGGCTACTTCCCAGTGCCAAGAAGCATCTTGGGTTCCCCACCCATGCTTGTGAGTCCCCCATTGGAGTTTTGATGCATTGACATATAAGCAAAACAAGACAGGAAAGGTGGAACCTAGGTGAGGCACTCTTTCTGGCAAACTGGAAATGTGAAAAATTAAATTAGAGCTATCTTTGCATTTAATTATATGAGCAGAAAGACTGGACAGCAGAGTAGCCTTCTAGATACTATATTTTCTGATGAGTGTGTGCTACCGGAACTTTCCTTCCCAACATTACAAGGAAATTATTTTTCCATAACTAAAAGTTTATTTTGTTCTGGCATCAAATCTACCAAGGGAAAGAGAAAGAGAAAAGGCATTGGGTTATCTTTTTGTTAACTCTGATGTTTCTGATTTCTTGGTCTCTAGGTCACTGTAAGGCCCCAGATCATTTTCAGTTTGCTAAGTTGAAAACCCAAACCAATGAATCTCATTTTCCCATTGGAACATCTTTAAAATATGGATGCCGCCCTGAGTATTATGGGAGGCCATTCTCTATCACGTGTCTAGAAAACCTAGTCTGGTCGCATCCCAAAGATGTCTGTAAACGTGAGTAACCTTGCATTGTAGCTTTTGTATGTCCATCAAATTATCTGTAGGATCTTATTTAACTTTTCAAAATTTTGGATATGAGAACACTTTTTTCAAAAGTGTTCAGATAGGTGAGTATACGAGTTGGTCTTATAGGTCATCCCTGATTATTGGTTGAAATGTTCATTAAATGAGAATGTTTCAAGGAATATTTGTAGAGAAAATCTCCATTCCTTATGAGAATGTAAATAATGAATGACTCTAAACCAGGAAAAAAAATTGTGTAAGGGGTTGTAAATTCTGTTTGAATAAGTAAGTGGGAAGAAATTTTATGAGAACTGTAAACTATACTGGTAGTATGTAAAGCCATAAATGACCTTTGTATTTTGATAAGGGATACAAGGCAGAGATTAGACAGATCTAGAGGAGAGGTCTTTTTGAAGTAGGTGGCTGATCCCAAGGCACTCTGGTGAGTTTCCAAAATCTGCGGAACCATCAGAACTGTATATGCCCTTCAGTACGCTACAGGCAGGTTGGGACCTTACATACTAAAACACAGTTCAGGTTGCTCTACCTGACTCTGAAATTCTGTTTCTTTCCCATAGGTAAATCATGTAGTAATCCTGCAGATCCTATGAATGGCCTGGTGCATGTAGACACAAGCATCCAGTTGGGATCCATAATTAACTATTCCTGTAATAAAGGGTGAGTTGGCAGCAACATTCCTTGGTTTGAGAGTTCCAGAACAGCAAACGACCTTCTAGTCACTTTTCATAAATGACAACTAGCCTATTACCACCAGGTCTTAAAAGGCACAAACTGAGGTGTGTTACTCCTGATTGAAATGAACAAATGTCTGATAAGATTAGGGGGAAATACTGTATTCTTGTTGGAAGCAAGGCAGTACATACAAGAAAAGTATGGCATTCATCAGATGGGAAGGAAGAAAATGGGGGAGGGTGTAGTCAAAGCATACGAATAGCCCTAAGCCAGGGTAGACATTGTAGAAGAGAAGAAGGCCGTAGAGAAGTTGTGTGAGAGAGCAAATCTTGATGGTAATGGCACTATTAGTTTGCTAGGGCTGCTGTAACAAAGTACTGCAAACTGGGTGGCTTAAAACCACAGAAATTTATTTTCTCACAGTTCTGGAAACTAGAAGTCCAAAATCAAGGTGCTGGCAGGACCAGGTACCCTTCAAAGCCTCAAGGGGAGGATCCTTCCTTGTCTCTTCCAGTGTCTGGTAGCCACAGGCTTTCTTTGGCATATGGCAGCATAATTCCAGTCTCTGTCTGTCTTCACATGTCTGTCTTCCCTCTGTGTCTGTGTCTTCACGTGGCTTCTCCTCTCTGTGCATGTCTATATCCAAAGTTCTCTGTTTTTATAAGTAATGTCGGATTAGGGCCCACCCTAATAACCTCATCTTAACTTGATCACTTCTGCAAAGACCCTATTTCCAAATAAGTTCATGTTCACAGGGACTGGGGGTTGGGACTTCAACATATCTTTTGGGGAGACACAATTCAACCCATAATAGAGCACCTTTTGAAAATGTCAAGCATGAAGTGCTCGTGGAGCAGTGGTGCTAAAGTTGTTGCTTACCCTTGCTCAGCATGCATTGGAGGCCCTGCCTTAACCTCACTCTTATTGTGAGCAGCTAAGCCAGTTAGAGAATATGGGCGAAATTTGTGCTGCCATAACTAACACTGAAAAGAAACTTGTGGTCCCTAGCACATTCGTCACCTATACCTCATAGACCATAGTACCTAGAATCTGACAAGGTGACATTAGAGTAAATACAAACTCTTCTCTCTTCCTCTGAGCATTTTTAAGTGCACTTTGTAAATTCTCCGACTGTACCTCTTCATCTTGTATACTGAGTAAGGGTGAACCTCTATATGGTATCAAACAAAAAACCATTAAACTTATGGGCCGGCCCGGTGGCGCACTGCGCTAGTGCGCCGCTTGGGAAGCGTGGCGGCGCTCCCGCCGAGGGTTCGGATCCCACATACAGACCGGTTCCCGCTCACTGGCTGAGCGAGGCGCGGGGGCAACGCCAAGGGTTGCGATCCCGTTGCCGGTCCTGGTCCGGTACGGGGGCGACACTGAGGGTTGCGATCCATTGCCGGACACGGAAAAAGACACACACACACACACACACACAAAAAAAAACCATTAAACTTATGATAAGTAACAGGAAATGAAAGTAAAAGAGACCAATCTGAAAAATCAAGAGAAACTTTCTCCTGCAAAACAGTTACTGCCAAAAAATGTGAAACTTTCAGAAAAATCTCCTGTTCATATTGTTACCAAGATTCAGTGGCACACTGCTTCTGTGAAACTAGCCAGGAAATCAGCAAAGTTTGCACATGAATAAAAAGCACAATTGTCAAACTAAAAAAAATTAACGAATTTGTGACAAACACACTGAATATTGCAGAAAATTAAAACAAAGAGTAAGAAGAAGACTTCATCAAATTCTCCCAGAATTCAGTGGAAAACAATAAAGAAAAAGAGAAAAGAGAAGACATGTAAGACAGTACTAGGATTCAAAATACATGTAATAAAAATTCCAGAAAAGTAAACAAATAAGCCAATACTTAGCCATCACTAGAGAAACAACTTTTGTATTTTAGGGATGGGGTGGGAAGGTGGGAAACATCAAAAATCCAGAAATAAAAATGTCAAAATATAATACCTGCCAAACAAATTTATTTATATTGCCACTACACTGATCCTACATAACACTAAATTGTAGAAGGTAATATTTCTAATGAGACAAGCTGGTATTCACATCTACAGGCTCCAGATACATTAAAGGATAAGCAAAGACTCCAAATTATGCCATTTAAGTATGCTTTCCAGCGAAAAGAAGATAAACCTAGGCAATTCAGAACTAAATTTTTTAAAAGGAGAAAGATAAACTTTAAAAGAATTGTCAATGAAGTAGAAAACTGGTTTTAAAAAAACACTAAACACCAAAAAAACACAAAAAACCAGCCAATTATTTTTAACAGTCATAAAACAATACAATGTCAGAACTAATTCTTAAAAAGTGGAGCTTTTTAAGGTAATTATAATTTAATAATAACCTCTAAAGTCATAGAATGCATCGATAAAACTAGAAAATGGGAGAGAACAAGAAAAAGTAGGCTAGAAGTATTACATAAAAGATAAGTGGACTGTACATATTTTGACACTAAAATTAAGAAAATAGGTTTAAAAATACCTCAAAAAAGTTCACGGAAAGATTTGTATTATCTTCTAAATCTATTTTTCCACTTTTCCCATGAACTTTTGAAGTTCCCTTGTATGTGCTTTGCACATACATGTGCACACATATAAAATGAAGTTACTAATGGGAAAAAATAGGAGTTAACTTTCAAATTATTAGAACAACTAAGAGAGCCGAACTTATCTGGTCCAAAGAGAAAATGAGAGGAAGGAATGAGGTTCAGCCAGGAATGGACTTGCCTCTTCTGTTGCCATCAGCCCCTCGTGTTTGGGTCACATCCATTTTATTCATTGCTTCATTCTTGTCACTGGACGTTGTGTAATGAATGAAAGACATAGTTGAAATGTATCATTTGTTTCAGTAAATTTGGTTTAATCTCCCTGTTGAAAGACCACGGCTTCTAAACAAGATCAAAAGCATCACATCTGGTAGGTTCTACAAGCATCGCGCCTCAAGTAAAGTGACATATCAGGAAAATGCAAACAAACAAAAAATGGCAATCATAGTAATATGAGAAAAGAGCAATTTAGTAAGAAAATTATTAAACAGGTCCATAAAAGGATTGTTTTATTCTGGTGCCTGGTACAATCCACAGTGAAGCCAAGACACTAAGAAGCAGAGTGGGCCATGCAGAGTTAGAGAAGAAATATTTCTTTCAATGGGAAGATTACAGGAATGAGCAGTAAGAAAAGCTGGGTACAGCAGGTCCAGTTAGGCTCGTCCTTAGACTTCTCCCAGATTGTAATCTTTCAGCTTTGCCACATATGCGTGCTGTGAAGAAGTCGGTCGGTGTGTACAGCATAGTTATTCTTCATCTTTTTTGCCTTTAGGTACCGGCTCATTGGTCGCTCATCTGCTCAGTGTGTCATCTCAGGCAGTGCTGTACACTGGGACACAGAGCCGCCCACTTGTGAACGTGAGTTGAAACCTCTCTCCCTGTTCATCCACCACTTAATCCTACAGTTGCCCCCTAGAGTCACAAAGAATAAATCTCATTCTTCTCAGAAATGCTATCCTTCTGATACTTGAAGAATACAGGGGTACCTTCAAAAAGTTCATGGAAAGGTTTGTATTATCTTTTAGTTCTATTTTTCCACAAACCTTTTGAAGTTCCCTGATGCTGTCATATCCTTAAGACTGCTCAATGTGCCGAACTTCTAGATGCCCTTGGTTTTTCCCTATCTTGGCGTATGATGTATTTTAAACTATAGTTTCCAGCTCATTTTAAACAGTCCCCAACTTCCTCTCTTGTTGAATGCTTCCCAGGTTGAAGATCATTCTCTGCGATCTTCAAATACAAAGCTGTATTTGAAATACAAATACAAAAACAAATGCAAAGTTGCACTGAGTCACCTTGCTTCCTGTCTGCCAGCTCTTTATGTCACATCACATATTCAAGCAGTGCAGCCCTCTTGCTATGCAAATGTTATCTGCATTACTGTTTGTGATAGTGAAAATGTCAGAATCATCTAAATGTTGAACATATTTCAAAAAACATTTTGGAAATAATCTACTGAGAGGAACTAGGCATATGTAAAAAAAAAAAAAGAAAGAAAGAAGTTTAAAATCTGCTAGAACGCATTAGGCTGTAGAGAATACTCTTCCAAATGGAATTGGATAGTACATCTTTATACTGGAATATTATTCAGCCAACAAAGATATTTTAGGTATATTATATATTATACACTTTAGATACATTTAGGAAAATACGTTGTGGGGGGATGTATGAAAGATTATATATTGAACAGTTAAGAGTGGTTCCTTCTAGATAATGGCCTTAAAGATGATTTTATTCATCCATATTTTATGAAGTTTCTACAATAATATGTATCTTTTAAAATATTTTCTTAAAGGTTGAAAGAAATAAATCAGTACCTGCTTTAAGATATACCTGCCAAAAATAATAGAATTTTTTTGTGTGTTCTGCAATCCCTTAAAATGCCTAGGAATGAACTGTTACTTGAAGATTAGAATAAATTTGGGTGTAAAATTAGCTATGCCTCATACCTTTTTAGGAGTAGCATTTGTAATATATTTTTCCATTCTTCTATTTTGGTGGGTTATTCAAACTTTCTACCTTTTCTTGAGTCAACACTGGCAAAATACATCTTTATCCCTAATATTCTCATTTTCAAATTAGCATACAGTAGGACACAATATTCAATTCCTGTTATTACTTCTGAATCTGCAATTATTGTGTTTATATGTAATATTGTATATGTGTGCTTTATCTTTTTTATTCGTTCTGCTAGAACTTTTTGCTTTTACTTTTTTGATACAGACACTATACTGTATACTTTACCATATTAATAACCAATAGAAAAAAACCAAATAGAGAGAGAACTAAATTAACAACAGTAAAATAACATAGTTAGGTTCTCATTTAAAATGAGAAGTAAATATGTAGACTATTATAATAGGGTCTTCCAAAAAGTTCATGGAAGGATTCGTATTATCTTTTGATTCAATTTTTCCATGAACTTTTTGAAGTGGCCTGATATGTGGACACATTTATTGAAATGATGTTAACTGAGAGGAGCAAAATCCATAATATTGTGTCACCTATTCTGCAATTGCATAAAGACATGTCTTTACATTAACAAAGATTAGGTGAGAGCAATACTGTGAATATTCACTTTTTGGTAATTTGGGTTTTTCTTTTAAATTGGTTATCAACACTTATAATTAAATATAACTTTAAGAAATCAAGGTTTTGTTTAGCTTGCTCACTCTTTTCACAGGTATTCTTTGTGGGCCACCCCCAGCCATTGCCAATGGAAATTTCTTTAGCACCGACAGAGAATATTTTCAGTATGGATTGGTGGTGACCTACCGCTGCAATCTTGGAGACAGAGGGAAAAGGGTGTTTGACCTCGTGGGCGAGCCCTCGATATACTGCACCAGCCATGACGATCAAGTGGGCGTCTGGAGTGGCCCTCCCCCTCAGTGCATTATACCTAATAAGTGCACGCCTCCAGAGGTGGAAAACGCAGTAATGGTATCTGGCAACAGAAGATTATTTTCCTTAAATGAAATTGTGGAGTTGAGGTGTCAGCCTGGCTTTGTCATGAAAGGACCCCCCAGTGTGCAGTGCCAGGCCCTAAACAAATGGGAGCCAGAGTTACCAAGCTGCTCCAGGGGTGAGTGGACTTGAGGCATGGAAGGGCCTGCACGTGACATGAGTTGTTGGAGTATCAGGACATCAGTGTTGGTTCTGGGGAGGGACGTGTGGTGAGCAGTGTGGATTGTGGGTTAGTAAATTTGGGGGGAGGAAGCATGAAATTAAGCATGTGTGTGTGTGTGTGTGTGTGTGTGTGTGTGTGTGTGTGCGTGCATTTGTGTGTATGTGTCTTCATTTTGAGAAGCAAGAGCTTAATTAGCCAAAAAGGAAATATTTGGAGTATCATCTTGAGCAATTCTCAGGGTAAAGTGCCAGCTGCAATATCTCTCAATTATATCTAAGAATGATGTGAGCTTTCTCTATGGCCAGCTGCATGATAAACACTTTATATGCATTTTCTCATTACTCTTTGCAACAACACTTCGAAGTAGTGCTATTCTTATATTCGTTTGATAATGAAGTTAGCTTGATCTTTCAGAGTTGAAATAAGTTGTCCGTATCAGATGGTAGGAAGTGCACACCCAGGATTAAAAAGGCAAACGTGTCCAGTCCCAGAGCCTGCATGCTTTGGTTCTTGTCATTCCTCTATGAGCATCTATTGGCAAAAGAAAGAGACTGGCTTATGAAGACAAGTGTAGCATCAACACAGTGACAGAGACCTTAGAGTCTGTCTATAATGGACTACTTTGTACATTTTAGCAGTAGAGTGAAAGTAACTTGCTCAAAGCCAAACAGATGTTTTACTCATCTTGGATGAGGCATAAATGAGATTGGTGTTACAATGGGTTCTGACGCCCTATGCATGCACCAAAAGGTCTACAATTGAAGGTAGACATCGAGTCAAATACTCTCTTAGTAATGTGACCTCTCGTTACAAGGACTGGCTTATTTAGGGGCTTTTGTTCTTGGTGGCTCATCTTGTCTTCTTACGCTGCAGTAGCTGGCAGTGGTCTCGTAGGTTTTGTGGCTGATACACAGGGACAGAGAAGGAGCCTACAATTCTTCCACCAACTCTTGCCAGCCTTGGGCAACCACTGAGAGAGCAGCTAGAAGGACAAAAGGCACAGAGATAGAAAGATGCTTATATGACCGTACTTCAGTCCCAGAAGTGCAATCAGGGAGATAAGGGGGGATAAGCCCCCTGAGCAAGGGGCTGAAAATTGGGGTTGCCTTCCTAGGAAATATGTAGGGAGAGAATCCACCAATATTAGTAGCTCCGTATTGGACAGCCAGAGCTAGGAGAAGGAACCTTGTGCCTTGAAAACTTAAGAGTGAATTTGAGACCTTGTGCGAGGGAGAATTGGGTTCTCTTTCTCTACCTCCTACTAGCTATGAGGCATTGACTACATCTCTTTCCTATTTGTCACTTCCACATCAGTAAAATAAGGAATGTGGAGTGTCATTTGACTTCCTTTGTTACACCTGAACACCTTTAAGTATGATTCCCTAAGTCCCTAGAAGCCTTAGAGGTTAGCAAGATATTTCCCTATAACTAACAGGTACTTTGGATCTGTCCGTTCCACAGTGTGTCAGCCACCTCCAGAAATCCTGCATGGTGAGCATACCCCAAGCAACAAGGATGACTTCTCCCCTGGCCAGGAAGTGCTCTACAGCTGTGAGCCCGGCTATGACCTCAGAGGGGCTGCTTCTCTGCGCTGTACACCCCAGGGAGACTGGAGCCCTGCAGCCCCCAGATGTGCAGGTGCCTAGACTCTCTCTCTTATCTAGTTTCCAGATCCGTCTCTTTGCCCCTCACTGGCAGTCTTACTCCTGCTTTGTGTTTTTGTTTTTCTCCTAGTGAAATCCTGTGATGACTTCCTGGACCAACTCCCTAATGGCCGTGTGCTGTCTCCACTGAATCTCCAGCTTGGGGCAAAGGTGTCCTTCATTTGTGATGAAGGGTGAGTGTGATCATGAATACAGACCAGGGACTCGGTGCTGGATGCTGACACCCTGAGTAATGAGGGTTTATCCAAAAAGGGGGACTGGCCTAGTGGAAAAGAAGTACTAGAAGAGACTAATATCTGAAACAATAATTGGAAAGTATGGTAAGTACCAGATGGAACCATGAACAGATGTTTGAAAAGTGGCAAATATACTGAACAGTAGAAATACAACAGATCTTAAAAATATAGATGGAACATTAAGTGTATGGATAAATAGTAATTATAGAGATGAAGAGGTAAATATTTTAGGGGGGTTGTTAAGAAAAGTTTGATATATGAGAAAGTTGTTGTAGGGAAAGTGAAGGAAAATGGCCAGGGCCCCTTAGATGTTCAGAATCTTGCCGAGCATTTGATGTAAATATGCACATGTGCCCAGGTGTCCTGGGTTATGGACTTAAGTATAGAGGACCAATGGCTCTGATCCACGGGGCCCCCCACCCCCAGGATGTCCCGGGGGTTGCCATGGGTAGGCCACTACTGCTGCTGGAGGCTGTTGCTGCCAGTGCCCCTGAGAGGCCACCACTTCTGCTGCTTCTGCTGCTTCTGCAGAAGATTGTGCTCGTGTCATCTGCCAATGGCTCCCGGGATCTTTCCCAACTACTTAGCATGGACCTGTGTGTGAGGGTGACCCAGCCAGGAATGTGAGGGGTCTGGTGACCCAGTCCATACAATGGGTTTGAAAGGTCTGAGCCCTAGCCCTGACAATACAAATGGAAACTTAGTGTAACTAAAATAATGAAACATTTTGGCTTTAGTTATTGTCAAGCCATGGCTGGGGCTCAGACCCCTCAAGCCCATTGTATAGACTGGGTCACAAACCCATCACATGTGGGTCCACGAGCTAGGTAATAGGAAAAGATCCTGGAAGCCGTGGGTAAAAAATTAATAGGCTTTATTCAGAGCTAGGAGCAGCCACCGTAGGGGTTTGCCGGAGAAGCACCTTGTATCTCATCCTGAGAAGCACCTTGTATCAGAGCCGTTAGTCCTTTATACTTAGGTCCATAACCCGGGACACCTGGGTGCCCATATGCAATTACATTAGATAATAACCAAGGAATACCTGGGCACACGAGGCTATTTACAGCAAATTCTCAGCAAGATTCTGAACATCTGAGGGGCCCTGATCATTTTCCTATGTTTTCCCTACAGTTACGATTTGTCTAACCAGAAAATTAGCGTAGCTATTTGCTATAACCCGACAATTGGTGTAGTCGCACAGCTGTATAGTTGTATATAAGATAAATAACATGCAAAGATTGTTTCACAAGATTTTAAACAAATCAATAGTGGAACTGGAATGGGAATAAAAGAGTAAGTAGAAGTATTTTTTAATCCAAGTATATCTCACAGTATTAAACTGTATTGGAGGGAGCATGAATACAGATGTTCATGTTTTAAATAGTATCATTAATCTTTATGCGAATGTAAATTGTCTTAGCATTATGTTCCACTGGCAGGTTAATAACAAACAAACAAACAAACAAACAAAAACCTTGACCACAGAGCAGCTCTTCTCAATTTATTCCAAGGACTCCTTGACATACCAGCTACCCAATATAAAGACCTGGAGGCAACTCAGGAGGCCATTGTTCTGAAAATAAATTGGATATTTTAGGATGATTTCTTTCAAAGACTTCTCATCTCCTCATCTTTCCCTCATTTTCCTAGATAACTTGGCTTTACCCTTCAATAATCCGGGGATGCCATAAGTATCGTTCAGGAATATTCCAGCTGTAGTCACCAGAAGAACAGTCTTCTGCTATCTTTTCTAATGATTTACCAACCTAAACCAGGAGCTGTTTCCCCCCTGATCTGCTGTCTTAGAGAGAGAAAAGCTACATTTTGCATTAAAGGACAAAGTTCCTGCTAATAGCAAAAAGGTGGCTCTCAGCAGTCAGGGAAAGATGACCTTCTGAAGCTCTGGAACCAGACCAAGGGAACTCCTGTCTACGTGTTTCGTTCTTCAGTGCAGGCTGGAGGTGTGGTTTCTGTCTGGTGACTAAGCTCTACCAGTTGTTATTGCTTTGCCCCTCACTGGAAGCTGCACTTTTTCTAAAAAGACCTGGTTTCTCAGCCTCTATCAGTGAGAAACCAAATGAGTGGAAGTTTTCCACTTGTGCTTTAACTTAGGTATTAAATTGCTAAATATCTTAGGAATTCTCAGGGAGGAAGCTGAGATCTGTGAAGGAAGGAAAGAAAGAACTGATGGGTTCACCCAGTTACTGCTGCTTTTGTTCTTTAGGTTCCATTTAAAGGGCAGTCCCATTAGTCACTGTGTCCTGGTTGGAACAAGAAGCCTTTGGAATAACAGTGTTCCTGTGTGTGAACGTGAGTAGAAGGAATACTTATTCAATCTGGATCTTTCTCTGTCTTGGGTTTTTTTTTGTTTTTGTTTTTGTTTTTGCTTTTTCTTAATGTGGTTTTCCCATGCAATTACCTAATGTCTGCTCCTCTGTTTATGTTCATTTTTGATAGAAATAGGTTGTTGGAATAATTACAAGGAATGTTCTGAGGAAAAATAAAACTGAACATCATGTGTTTTGGGTACCATCCTGTAAATATTTACAAGCATACTATGTGCCATTAATGGTGAGAAATGCTTCCTTGACTGAAAGAAATTTATGGCATTATGCTTGGACAAATTTTTCTTGTTTTCTGTTTTTTTGTTTTCCTGTCAGAAGTAATAGTCATGCTTCAAACTTCTATCCTTTCCTCTGTCATATACTCATTCTTTCAACAACAGTGTTTTGTGCTCCTATTTATGTGCCAACCAGTCTTCTGAGAACTTGGGATACATCTGTAAACAAGATAGACTAAGTTCCTACTCCCATGTTGTTTAGATTTTTGTGCAGGGACAAAGACTAAAAAAAAAGAGACATAAGTAGAAATGTTCAAAAAATACTAAGTGTTATTAAGAAAAAAAAAACCCAAGGTAATACAATAAAATAGTTATGTTAAGGGAGATAAGAAAACCCAGGAGGAGAATAAAGTTTCCATTTTAAATAAGGTTCAAGGAAGCCCTCTCGAGAAAGCAACATGTGAGCATTGATGGGAATTTGTTGGCTACCAAAGTGCAGAGGTCGAAGAAGAAATGTCCCTATGGATGGAGCAGAAAGAGCTAAGGTTCAAGGCAGAAATGTTCCTGGTATTTTCTGTGAAAAGCCTGTTCCTGACATTTTCTACGAAGTTAATATGTTTTGTATGGAGTGAGAAAATCTAGGATTGGTAGGAGATGACCGAAGAGAAATAAGAAATTAGGTTTTCGCTCTGAGCAAGGTGAGAAGCCATTGGAGTGTTATGAGCAGAAAAGTAACATGATCTGACCTATTTGTAATGCTATCACTCTGACTAGGAAGATCTAGGTTAGAAAGAGATATGTCGTAGCTTGAGATTCCCCAGAAAATAGTGCCAGAGGCAAAGCTGAAGCTATACTGCTCTGTTGTGGGGTGAAGTCACAGGGCAGCAAGAGTGGAAAGGAATAAAAAGGGAGGCGGGGAGGAAAGGAAAGCAAATAAATAAAAGATGTGTGCTCGTGAGATGCCCATAAGTTTCACAAGAAAAACAGCTGCTCGTTTGGACATATAGGCCATTTTGGAGAGGCCCTGTGGAACCAGAACTGTCCATCAGGAAGAGGAAGAGCAACCAGTTTATCTGCTGGACGTTCCTGTCTCCTGTGCATGCCATGGCTGTTAACCCCCTGGTTTCCGGGTTGTTAATAGCTAGTCCCTCTGGGCAGACTCTGGGGACACTAGAGACCATCATCTTCATGGTGTTTCATCTAAGCCCAGAAGTGATAGAGAGTGCATGGATCCAGTCATGTCTGGCTTGGATGTGGGAGCTGCTTTGACTCCCGCTGTAGTGGGTACAACAGAGGTTATGCAGGAGCCCACCTCTCACCCTTGGGGAGGATGAGACGGGCAGTGTTGTTAGGAAATGAATTCGCAGAGGTATTAGTCAGTGCTCTCAAGTGAGAAAGCAGCCGATTACCCAAAGGGCAGATGTGGCTGAGCAAACCTAGGGATGTAGCTAAGAATTCAAATTGGGAGGCTATTGTGACAGACTAATTAGAGATGCTGGCCCAGGATAGCAGCTGGGGGAGGTAAAGAGAAGTTGTCAAATTCTGGATATATTTTAAAGGTAGAGATGATAGGACTTGCTGATGGTTTAGATAGATGGTGTGAGAGAAACAGAAGAGTTATAGAGGATTTCAAAGTTTTTAGCCAGAACAACTGCAGGGGTATAATTTCCCTTAACTGAAAAGGAGGAGACTGTGTGAAGAGCAAGTCTGGGAATGGGAGGAAATCAAAAGTTGAGCTTGGGACATAAGATTAGTATTCCTAGTAGATATCCAAGTGGGCGTCTTGGAGAGACCTGGGCTGGTTATGCACATTTAGAAGCCATCAGTGTGTCTATTATGCTTAAAATCAGGACTAACAGGGGTCACCTAGGGGGTGAGTGTGGCTAGCAAACACATGCATAGGCTGCTCCTGGGCTTCCAGGATTAAGAAGTTGAAAAGATGAGAAGTCAGCAAAGGGGATTACGGCAAGGCAGCTGCTGTAGTGACAGGAAACGCAGAAGGATGTGGTGTCCTGGAAGCCAAGTGGAGAAATTCTTTTAAGGAGACGAGACTAATCAACTGTCAAATTCTACAGAGATAAATAAAATGAGGACAGAACACTGACCACTGGGGTTAGCGACTGGGAGATAATGAGTGGCCTGACAAGTGTTTTCAGTAGAGAGGTGGTGGTGGGGGGGATGCCCGATTGGAAAGAGTTCAAGGATAAATAAAGGAGAGGAATCGTATCAGAACATAGACAACACCTCAGAAGAGTTTTTGTGTCAAGAGAGTGGAGAATAGAACTATAGCTGGAGAGTGACATGGGACCAAGGGGGTTGTTTTTTATTTTTAAGATAATGGAAAAATAGTGTGTTAAATACAGAAGCACTACGACTATATCCAACCTGCCCATTTATTCCTTTACATCAAACAGGATGTTGCTTTGTCTTCTGATCACAGCTATTGAAAAATACGTGTTTACAATAGAATTTTGCTTGAATGAATACTTTGCTTTAAAATTGGATGTCTTGTAATGATTTATATGATGAAACAATAATTTTATCTTTGGAAGTCAGATATTTGCCAATCAGAACTTTTCTGGAACACTTAGGAATCATGAAAGAAACAAAGGAAGAACACTCTCATGAACCCGAAGACACCTGAAATCACTCGCTGGAGTGTAGACACTGGCTGAGCTATTTTAGCCTCTGATTAGTTTATCTATGATTCTTTCAAGCTGCAATATCCTCTTCCCAAATCCAAATCAAATTAGAATGGGGAAGGAGTGTCTCCAAATAGAGACACTCAAAGGAAAATGAGTTTCTTCAATGAAAAAACAAACAAAACCCTGTAAAAACCAATGTCTCAAAATGCATCCTGTTTTTGAACGTTTAGAAATACGTGCAACAGTACAGAGTATGGTAGTCCCCACTTACCACCGTTCTACTTTCTGTGGTTTTAGTTACCCATAAAATATTATTTTAGTTATCTCAAAAATATTAAATGGAAAATTCTAGAAATAAATAATTCATAAGTTTTAAATTGTGTGCCATTCTGAACAGTGTGATGAAATCTCAAGCCATGTTGCTGTGTCCCAGGTGGTGAGTCATCCCTTTGTCCCACCAATCCACACTGTAGCTGCTCTCTGCCCGCTAGTCACTTGGTGGCTGTCTCAGTTATCAGATCACCTATGGGGTATTGCAGTGTCTCTGTGCAAGTAAGATTTTGAGACTCACATCCTGGCACCATTAAGAAAAATTAGCCACTAATACAAAAATATAAAATGTGAAATATATTTCAGAAAAATGGCTCTAGGATGAAGATCCTTGATGTCAAAGATCATGCTTATCTTGTGCTTAAAAAAATGCTTGTTGAATTAATGGATGATTTCCCTTTAATGTGGCTCAGAATGTATTTATTTGTTTTAAAGGAATATGCTCTTAATTATCATTTAGAAATCTATCTGAAGAATTCAGAATGCCTATATTTCCTTTGGACTCTTGAAATAAACATTGATTTAGGCATCATTTCATTTAGCTCCACCTCGGTAGAGGCCTAATACATAAATTTTGCAGTTTTTACTCTCCTTAAGAAATAAAATATTGATTAATTGACAACACAGTCACACCATGCCATAATTATAGAAATACCTCAGATTAAAATTTAAAATTTTTACTGAAACTTACAGATTTTGTCATCTTTCTAGAAATCTTTTGTCCAAATCCTCCAGCAATCCATAATGGCAGACACACAGGAACTCCTGGAGGAGATATTCCCTATGGAAAAGAAATATCTTACACCTGTGACCATGACCCAGACACAGGAATGACCTTCGACCTCATTGGGGAGAGCACCATCCGCTGCACCAGTGACAGTCAAGGGAATGGTATTTGGAGTGGCCCTGCCCCCCACTGTGAACCTTCTGTTCTTGTAGGTCAGTATCCACTTCCATGTATCCTACATGGTTCCAGTATATCTAGACCCAATCCTCCATGTTTCTATAACAAGAGTTGGGTGCTTGTTTATGAGTTGAACTTTGTCACAAGTGGAAGTGTCAAAATCACATGCCACAGCTGAAACAGAGGGGTTCGAGCAGTGCAGAGGTGTGTTTGAACAGGTGAGATGTGAAGAGCTCGTCTTGCTGGTGGAGTGATGAGGGGAGGGTGGAGGGAAGGAAGGCAGTAGAGAAAATTATGTAAATCAGGAAGAAAAATGCATTCATTGTAAATGACATGAAAACAACTGCCTGTGAACAGTAACCAAGTATCAGTACAACTGCTGTGCACTCTCCACTAGTTCATGAGAACTGCATGGGCGTGTCGAGGAGAAAACTGGCAAATGGATGTGATTGAGCTAAGGCCCTAGCAAGTCTTCTGCTGAATGCACTAAATAACCAAAAAGATTCTCTTTGTCCTTGTAGCTTAAGACCTCAACTAAAGTACACCCGCTTGTCAGCTTGCCTCTGGTTCGCATCCTAATCTTTGTGATACAATCTCCATTATCTGTTTTCTCTGATAACTGTCAAAAAGTAATGGTTTTCTACGTCTTTTCTATAAAACACATTTTTTTTTTCCTTTTTGTCTTTTTTCGTGACCGGTCTTGTGATACAATCTCCATTATCTGTTTTCTCTGATAACTGTCAAAAAGTAATGGTTTTCTACATCTTTTCTATAAAACACATTTTTTTTTTCCTTTTTGTCTTTTTTCGTGACCGGTCACGGGATCGCAACCCTCGGTGTCGCGCCCGCACCACTCTCAACCAGTGAGCGGACCGGTCTCTATATGGGATCCAAACCCTCGGTGGGAGCGCCGCCGTGCTCCCAAGTGCTGCACTCTACCGAGTGCGCCACCGGGCCGGCCCTATAAAACACATTTTATATACATTGTTTAATCTAATGCTTACAGCAAATATACAAGTATGAGGTAGCAACTATTCTTGTCCCCATTTTTTATTGAAAAAACTGAGTCTTAGAGATGTTAAATATCTTTTCCAAGGTCAAAAAGCTAATGATAAACAGAACTAGGCCTGGAATTCAAGAGGCTTTCTGACTCCAGAGCCTAATAATACCATGTAGTGACATGTGTGATGAACAGTAACATATGAAAAGAACGATCATTTCCCTGTCACTAGGAGAGGTCAGCGGGCATATGAGCCAGGAGGACGAAATGATGCATCAGATGAAAAAGGCCAGGAATCAATCATTCCATTCCAACTCTTCCATGTTAACACTGCAAACACTGAAGTTTGGAAAGGGGAAACAACCTACTCAAATCCTAATGATTCTATACCCCTCTCTCTATATATAAATATTTTTTATGTGTCTTCAATTGTATGTGGTTCAGACTGAGGCTCAAATGCATTCACTGAAGTTTGGAAAGGGGAAACAACCTACTCAAATCCTAATGATTCTATACCCCTCTCTCTCTATATAAATATTTTTTATGTGTCTTCAATTGTATGTGGTTCAGACTGAGGCTCAAATGCATTCTTTTTTTTTTTTTCCCCCTTTTTGTCTTTTTTACTGACCGGCAACGGGATCGCAACCCTCGGTGTTGCGCCCGCACCGCGCTCAGCCAGTGAGCGGGAACCGGTCTCCACATGGGATCCGAACCCTCGGTGGGAGCGCCGCCGCGCTCCCAAGTGGCGCACTCTCCAGTGCGCCACCAGGCCGGCCCCTCAAATGCATTCTGATGCCCTGATCATCCACCAGTTGAGCTATGTATGGAGGCAGTCAAAATTTGGGTCAAAATCTTCTCTAAGCCATATGTTCTCTCATTAAAAAGTGTGTAGCTTTTTTGCTTCCTTGGGAATGTTGTTCTTGATGGCTTCTCTTGTCTTCTGAGGCTGAAATGGGAAGAATCAGCAGGAAGAACCAGGGCTGGTCCATAGGCAGGGAAAGGAAGCTCACACTTCAGCCCTGTGCTGCCTAGAGACGAGCTGGGAGGGAAAATGAAGGGGCTTCAGGACTGATGACACAGGAGGCTGGGTGGAGGCATCCGGTAGAAGAGACCTGGGTAAAGGTATCCTTTGTTGTTGCCTTAAAGATGATGCCTGACAGACCACTGTATTAGGCCGTTTCTGCTGCTTATAACAAAATACACAGAACTGGGTATTTTATAATGAAAAAAAAGTTTATTGCTTACAGTTTCTGAGGCTAGGAAGTTCAAACTCCAGGGAAAACATCTGGTGAGGGTCTTGGTGGTAGTGACATTGACCCAGGGGTCTCACATGGCAGAAAACAGTGGAGCAGAGAGAAAGAGACTAACCTCTCACATGCTCTTCTTTTAAAGACCTCAAAATCATGGCCCCGACCACCATTTTTAATCCATTCACTATGGCATGGCCCTACAATCTAATCACATCCTCAAGGCTCCACCTTTCAATGATCATAATAGGATTTCCCACCCACAGAAGTCACAGAGGGAATTATGTTTTGGGGGACACTCAACCCTAGGCAGCCACCGTTTCAAGAAGTATAAGGGTGGACAAGCCACCAGCACTCACAGCTGTACTGAATGGCCTGTACGTGAAAGGAAGAGGAATGCTCTGCCCTGGCGTCTATGGAATGTGTTTCACAAGGGAAAACACTGACAAGGTGTTGGAACGACCTTGGTTCTGGTCGTGGCTGTGCTTCGTATCCTTTGTATCCTTGTCAGTAAGATGCGGGTAATGAACTGCCAGGTCTTCTCACAGCTGTACTCTGTCATTGTGGCTTTTAAGTCATGTGTTATTTCCATACTGGCAGGTATAGGATATACCAAGAGATATTCTCCCATAACTAACAAGTACTTTGAATCTGTCCCTTCTATAGTGTGTCAGCCACCTCCAGAAATTGCTCATGGTGAACGTATCCCAAGGGACAAAGTGGACTTCTCTCCCGGGCAGGAAGTGCTCTACAGCTGTGAGCCCGGCTATGACCTCAGAGGGGCTGCTTCTCTGCACTGTACACCCCAGGGAGACTGGAGCCCTGCAGCCCCCAGATGTGCAGGTGCCTAGACTTTCATCTGGTTTCCACATCGGTCTCTTTGCCCCTCACGTGGCCATCAGTCTTACTCCTGTTTTATTTTTTTCTGTTTTTATTTTTTCTCCTAGTGAAATCCTGTGATGACTTCCTGGACCAACTCCCTAATGGCCGTGTGCTGTCTCCACTGAATCTCCAGCTTGGGGCAAAGGTGTCCTTCATTTGTGATGAAGGGTGAGTGTGATCATGAATACAGACCAGGGACTCAGTGCTGGATAGTGACTCCCTTAAATTCAGTGTTTAATCCAAGAAGAAGTACCCAGAGAGATTAACTTCTAGGAGGGAAGTTTTCAAATAAGGGTGGGGAATCAGTGGCACCAGTATCATGAGATAAAGAGAAAATGGCACTTATTACTGAGTGTCAGGTACAAGCTTAAATACAGTCATTAATCATGCATTTGCAGTTGAAGCTTGAAGGGAATGGGTAAAAAGTTATTTGGGGGTAGGAAAAGCTAATTTTGTGGTGGGGTTGCTAGAAAAAATGTGATAAAAGAAACATAAAACCCATCAATACTAGAATTTGTAATAGTACATGAATAAATATGTTTTAATCCAATCATAAATCTTCATGTCATTGACACTTTGACAGTGCAATCAAAACGGCCAATGTTATTGTTTCAGGTAGCAGTATTAGTTGTTTACTAACTCTGCTCCTCATCCAATCATAAATCTTCATGTCATTGACACTTTGACAGTGCAATCAAAACGGCCAATGTTACTGTTTCAGGTAGCAGTATTAGTTGTTTACTAACTCTGCTCCTCTCGGCTATATGCACTGTCAGTCTGTGTGAGGCAACAAGATTGGACAATCCAACAGTTATGTTTAATAATTTCCAAAATATCTTTGGCATTTACAACGTCCACCACCCAGATTTTTGATTTTAGAATGATTTCAGATTTCAGTAGATTTCAGAAGGATGGCAGGAGCCAGTAGTAAACTGGACATTTCGGGGTGACAGAGACTGCTCCTCTGACCCTTCTGTTTTTCCTAGAATATTTGGTTTAGTATGCTTCTTTGAGCCTCCTCCTGGTTCAGTACAGTTGCAATGGCAAGAACAATGCCTATTCCATTTCTAGATGTTCTATGCTTTGCTCGCCCAGTTGGAGAGTGGGTCTTCCTCAGGACCCACTAATAAGTGACATACGTCAGAGGGCCGTCAATGACCTGACCCTCTGAAGGTATGGGTTTAGTGCGCATACAGAAGTCTGATTCTGAGTTCAGTGTCTTCTGTAGGTGATGCTGGGCGATGACATCAGAATGAAGATTAAGCCCATCAATTGTAATTGCTTTGCCTGTCACAGGGAACTGTGATTCTTTAGTGTAATTTGGCCTCTGACTTTCTGACAGCTACTGAATTCAGATCCCTAATGGACTAAGACTTTTAGCTGGGCCTGACCCTAAGAACCAAACGCTATTTAGGCTGAAGTGAGGAAGCTGAGCATCTGCATCTATCAGTGCAGAAGCGAAGGGAGGGATGGAATTGCTGTCTGCTACCACTTTTCTCCATTTAGGTTCCGGTTAAAAGGCAGCTCTGCTAGCTACTGTGTCTTGGCTGGAAAGAAAAGCCTTTGGAATAGCAGCATTCCCGAGTGTGAACGTGAGTAGAAAAAACCGTGCAGCCTGGAGAGCTCTCCTTTTTTGTTTTCCCGTGTGCTTTGCCTCATAGAATCATCTGTTCTCTGGATCTTTCTTTAATCAAACTACTGATAAAAATACTTCTTTGCTGGGAGAATTTCCAGAAAGGCCTTTTAGGTTTTATATATATGTGTTTATGTCACTAAAATCACATAGTTTAATGGGAGTGATCACTAGTTTAATGGGAGTGTTGGCTTCTGGGGGGAATATGTGGGGAAAACCAGGCAACATAAAGATGCACCAAATTTTGTTTATTCGTTTACTTTTTAGTTTTATCAACAAGGAGTAATATCTTAAATTTTTATGTTCTTTTATCCAATCACATACCTAAACCGATTATTCAGCCTATTATATAGTCCGTAGTGTTTACTGATGAAGGGCTTCCCACATGCCAGAACCTTCCATGTGTGGAAAGAATAATGAATAGGAAAGACTCACCTCTGCTTCCATGGGGTTTATTTTCCAGTTGGGAAGCAGATCATGAACAGGAATATAAGTAAATAAATGTTAAGAAAATATAAAATGCTATGTTAAATAGTAATGTTATAGCATTAAACAGAGTTATATGATAGATTAAAATGGTGCCGGGAGTTGGGGTCAATATTTGAAATGATGTGCTGCCCCAAATTTCCAAACCACCCACTTAAGTATAACATGCCAAAGATTCATAAACTGACCAATAGATAACAGTATGTGTTTTCTATACCAAGACATTACTGATTTATCCTACTCTGTCTACTAAAGCAAGGCAAGACTTTTTTTCTTTTTAATCCCTTTCCCCTGATGATAAGAAAAGTGATTACTTTAATTTGAATTTTGTTAAAATACCTTACTAGAAATCTATTTGGATATCTTATGGTTGTATCATGTTGAAACTTCATAAGAGCACTCGATACATTAGGAACTCAGATATCCAACAAACTTAACCTTCCAGAGATACATAAAGCGGAAAATAAATATCTACGTGAACTTTGGATGAACACAAACAGATAGGTAAAACTCAGTTATGGGATGTCAGTCATTCTTTGCTGTACTAATGCCCTTACTTTTTTTATGTAAACAATTCTGATAAACTTGGCTATCTATTCCTAAATTCACATCAGATTAGAAGTATCAAATTAGTTTTAGAGAGGGAACTGCTACAAACAAATACACTAACAGCAGGAAGAAAAGAGAGCTGACAATTTGGAAAAAAGAAAAAAAGGAAAAAGGCTCTCTGGAATCATCTAATCTGGATATAAAAAGCACTACAGTTATCAATGTATTCTGCGAGATAGATACAAATATCTTTTCTGTAGTTATTTGGTATTGGTACTGGTGATAATGGACTTGAGTCACCAAAAAACAATTAGTTGTGCTAAACATGATAGTACATTGTTAATGAACTTCACAAAGACTTCCCTGGAACTTAAGGTCTCTAAGGGCCAAAACCTCGTCTGACTTGTAGCTCATTGTCAACACAGGATTCTTACTATGCCTGATGTAAAGGAGGCCATCAAATGGTTGTTAAAAAGAACAACCACAACAAAACTAATTGCTTTCCAAATTCATTAAACACTTAGCTACCCGGATGGTCCAGGAGCACTACGTTTCGGGCTTTTGTGATAAAGTATAATTTAGGTCTCACCTCAGTTAATTCCTTCTCAGCAAAGCCTTACAGATTGAAATTCCATCCATGTTCGTGATGGTCTTTCCAAGAGAAAAATACTTATCCATAACGCGGTCACAGGGCACCATTGTTGTATAGTCATCTTGACTGAAACTCTAATAGAACTTACAGATTTTGTCTTCTTTGTAGAAATCTTTTGTCCAAATCCTCCAGCGATCCATAATGGGAGACACATAGGAACTCCTGGGGGAGATATTCCCTATGGAAAAGAAATATCTTACACCTGTGACCACGATCCAGACACAGGAATGACCTTCAACCTCATTGGGGAGAGCACCATCCGCTGCACCAGTGACAGTCAAGGGAACGGGATTTGGAGTGGCCCTGCCCCCCGCTGTGAACTTTCTGTTCTTGTAGGTCAGTACCCACTTCCACATATCCTACATGGGTTCAGAATATCTTGGAGAGAACCTGCATATTTCTATAGCGATGCTCATTTTTTGCTTGTGAACATGGCTTTATTATGAATGTCAGAGACAGAACTGCCTCCCAGGTGAAGGACAGATGGGCTCTAGGTGTGTCATGCTTTGTCCCAATTGGTGGTTTTCTGATGGCCCTTCCTGTGGTGTGTGGAGTGTGGGGTGGTCAGGGGAGGAGGATATGGAAAGTTGAGAGAATCAGTAAGGTCCATATTTCGTAGAGAATATTTTCAAGGCAGCAAAAACAAATGCCAAAAAAAAAAAAAATTACTCTTATGCCATCTCTACTGCTACTTATCTTTATACCAGATAGATGGGTATGCTGAGCAGAAACGTATCGATGGCATAATTTACTGCAAAATTTGATAATGCTACAGAAGTAATGAAAGAAACTCAAATGTAGGTATTTATTCTTTCATCGCTTGCAAGTGTTTTGTTCAAGCTGCTGATGAGTCTCGCTGGCCTTTCACTTCACCATAAACAAACAAACGTCAGGATGCCCTGGCAAAGCACAGTCTACATCGTGCCCTTAACCTCCGTAGCTCATTCCTTTCACATATTAGTCTGGCTTGAGATGACAGTACTAACAACTGTAGGTTTATTTGTGGCTGTGAATGCTTCATCCCCTAGGGAGGACAGAACGGCTTGTAGATCCCGGTGGCACTCCCAACTCATACAGTTGGCAGGTTTGTGATTCAGTGCTGAGAGGTCTAGGTTTAAAGAATCCGACTTCCACTGATCAGCTAACAGTGACAGGCGTGTTACCGGCCTGCTTCTTCATGTGTCTCTAATAGCCAGTGATATTATTGAATGTGTTGATGCGTTCGTACTCCTGTGTTTAACTGAATGTCTTTTCTTGTGTGTGTGTGTGTGTGTGTGTGAACTGGTTGTTAGCATGCCCACCTCCACCCAAGATCCAGAATGGTCACCATGTTGGAGAACGTGCATCTCTGTATCTTCCTGGGATGATGGTCAGCTATTCTTGTGACTCTGGCTACGTGTTGGTGGGAAAGGCCTTCATTTTCTGCACGGAACAGGGAACCTGGAGCCAATTTGATCATTATTGCAAAGGTGTCTCATTTCTTGGTATTTTTTATTCTTGCTGAGTTGTGATTGACAGACACATAAGGCTCATAAGGCCGAGAGATCATTGAGATGATGGTGACTTAATAAGGCTGAGAGGACACTGAAATGAGTATCAGTAGAGGAGGAGAACGGCAGAACTGAAGGTAGGAAGGAAGGCTGCCCAAGGGCCCTCACCTCTCCTGAGTAAGTAGGAAGAATGGATGGAACGTCCACTAACACAACAGACATCAAATACCAGTTTTGAATGCTTTCTGGCTTTTAACTAATTCCTCCAAATGGCCTCAGAGGGTCCTAAGTTATCCTCACAAATACCCTTAGCAGGTGAATAGGGACTAGAAGCATACATTGTTGTAAGGAAAACTGAAGCCTGATGCGAGGCGGTGTATTGTCCACCACACACAAGCAAAGTGGTTGAGAGCAATTAATTCCTGGAATTACTGGGTTTGGAGCCTCATGAAAACCTACCAGGCCAAAAGTGAAGTATTTCTTTTATCTGTTCCACAGAACAAATCCCCACAAATTACTTCCTTTATTGTAGTCTATATTCACAGAAATGACACTTGATTTTAAAATCTTTCCTAACAACATTGTAAAATGCTACAAAATGAGGAATTAAAAATAGGATTCCACAACTAGGCAGGAATCTGTGGTCTTTATAAAAGTTATTTGTGTTAGGGTCCAAAAGAATCTGATGAGGTGGAGTTATGATTCTTGCTGCCCTACAGAGGAGGACAAGTTTTGGACTGTAGCTCAGCCCCAGCTCTTAAACACTGCACTGTATTCTGTCTTCTTTTAAATGTGGTTCTTTTGACTTTACAAAAATATAAGTTAAATAATTCTACTCTTTGTTTGTTTCTTTCCTATTCTTTCTTTTGAGAAATTCTAGACTAAGGTCAGGGATAAGGTAGGAGGGACTCCAGACATGCCTGTGTTTCAAATGTTAAGGAGCAACTAGTCTTTAACCATGACCTGCCTCGCTTGCAGGAACATAGACCCACCCTATCCTCAAAGCCTCAGAAATCCTCTAGTCCTCCTAGCCCTCTTGTTTAGAGAAAGAGAAAATGAGGCCCACCACAGAGATTGTGACTCTCTTGTGCTTATTTGCAAGAATGGATTCCACAAAATACAGAGACTTTGAGCAAAATACATAGAACCTTTCTTTTTATCTTACAGTAAACACCAGGTATAATAAAGAGTTAAGTCTTAGTAATCAAACCATAGAAAAGCTGAAGTAAAAAAAAATAAATAAAAGAATATTTATCAAACAAGAAGGAGGCCAGCTTTTTTAACTGCAATATGATAGACACCTGAAGTACATTTCTCCTTGCTTTAGTGACATAAAGAAGTATGAAGATTCAGGAAATATTTCAAAGATTAATTGTATAAGGTGAGACTCTAGGAAGGTTCTTCTCCTGAAAATAAAAAAAACTAATATTCCGTTCTCTTGGCAGCTACTTTGTTTTCATTTATATAATATTCATTTTGACTCAACTGTCCTCTTCAAGCATGCTTTTGTAGCAGTGGTTCTCCACCCTTAGCACTAGCAAAATCAACCAGGAACCTTGTTAAAAAGATAGATTCTTAACTGGAGTTCATGGACTCGAATTCTGACTTTGATTCTATTTTGAGGTGTGGTCAGAAGTCTATTTTTAACAAATCCATCAGAACATTCTGATGTAGGAAGACCACAGACTCCACTTTAAGTAATACCACTTTACCTTGTTGGTTCTTATAAAGGGAAAAAAGATTTTAGGCTCATTTTGAATCTATTATAATTGAAAAGCAGGCTTTGCTTGAAGTTAAGATGGTATTACTGGCTGGGCAGAAAAAGCAAAATGAATGATGAGTTCAGTGAGATAAAGTAAATTAATTAGAAAAATGATACTTTAAATTCAGAATTATGTTTTACTAACTTCTTTGTTTTATGTATACAAATTGGCCAGAAACATGCATTTAATCAAGAGCAAAAATACCAGTCTTTGTTTTATACCTAGAGAGAGTTAACATGATGCTCCTGTTTCCTTATGGTGTGACCCAAGTGGATTCAGGGATAGAACATGTTGCAGAGTTGTTAATAATCAAAAGTGGATGTGCAGCACATTCCATATCCCCTTACTTTACATAAGAGATAAAAGCCAGAGAATTTTAAATTATAAGTTGTTGGGATAAAGTCAATAATTCTCAATTGAACATATGCCCCATCTTTGCCAAAGGCAAGTAGGTTTGGGGTCATAGATCTTTCTATTATGGCTGTTTCAACTAACACAATTAACAATACAATATCAATTTCCTTCTGATTTTTCTAATTTCAGAGGTAAAATGTAGCCTTCCACAGTTTATGAATGGAATCCGGAAGAAGTTGGAAATGAGAAAAATATATCGCTATGGAGATAATGTAACTTTGGAGTGTGAAGATGGGTATGCTCTAGAAGGCAGTTTCTGGAGCCAGTGCCAGGCAGATGACAGATGGGACCCTCCTCTGGCCATATGTACATCTCGTAAGTGCAAGAGCAAGGCATTTAAGCCCTTCCCAGTCATAGTTACTGTTCATTCATTTGTTCATACTGGCATCAAGTGTGGTATGAGGTTTATGGCATATGCTAGGAGCTAAGGAGAACCATCTGAGCCCCGACTTTGTCCCCAAAGCCCACAGCAGTGAGAGTTAGGCCAGCCTTTCTCTCCTGACACTTCTCACCCCATCCATCTCCCTTCAAGGCCCGTTCTGTATCTTTTTTGTCTACATCACTCTGTAGTTGCCTGTATCACGTAGTAATGATTTATTTGTAGCCTGTGGCCCTTAAAAGCCAGGAGCACATCAGTAGAGTAGGCCTCCAAGGAATATTTTCAGCATGAGTCAGGGAGCGCCTTCCAAGCTGCAGAGAGCAGCCAGCCATCTCCCTCACTGTTGTAGGCTACAGGATTTTAAGCTAGTACCGTTGGATACAGCAGATTTAGAAATCACAGAGCTCTGTAGGAGAGTAGCTCTCTGCTGGTGACTGGACAGTGGTACAAAATAGAAAATCCTGAAGCTTGGACTTGTACACATCAAGGAGCAGATGACAAAAATTAATAATGAATAACCTTTCTTAATCCAAGCTAGTTCTAGCCTTTCTCCTCCCCCCAGCTCTTATGACTCTTTTTTAGAAGGTATGGTTATATGCCAGGATTGTTCAAGATCTGTTTTTCATTGTTAACCCTTAAATGTGTTAACTAATCTAACTCACAATAATATTTCTAAATTATAAACTTGATGCTCCCTAAATATCAAACTATATTCACTTTGGCAAAAAACCTCACTGGCTAATTGATTGAATATCCTTAGAGTATTCTGAAGATCAGGCTGGGACTTACAGTTCATTCAGATAGTGGGGGAACTAGTCCTACCAGACATTGAAACAAAATATAAAGCCATAATATGTAAATCACTTTGCACCAGCACAAGAATAGTATAAGTAGAATAAAACTGGTATTGAAAAAACAAGGGTTATTACAAATAAAAATAAAAGTGTCTTGCAGATATAATAACAGAGACATAATAAATCTATGGGAAAGGGAAAGTTATCAAATAACATAGCACTGGAAAAAATTTAGAATCTTTCTTTTCCTCCTAAACAAATACCAGGTACAATAAAGAGTTTCAAAATTTTAAAAATCAACAAACGGAAAGGACATTCTTGGGGGGGAGGGGAGAGAGGGAGGAGGGCGGGAGGTGTCGGTGATGGGCCATAATAATCATATACATTGTATATTGACAAAATAAAAATTAAAAAAAAAAAAAAGAAAAAACAAGGGTTATTACAAATAAAAATAAAAGTGTCTTGCAGATATAATAACAGAGACATAATAAATCTATGGGAAAGGGAAAGTTATCAAATAACATAGCACTGGAAAAAATTTAGAATCTTTCTTTTCCTCCTAAACAAATACCAGGTACAATAAAGAGTTTCAAAATTTTAAAAATCAAACCATAGAAAAGCTAAAGTAAAATATATATGTGTGTGTGTGTGTGTGTGTAAAACAACTAGGAGACCAACTTTTTGAACTTAAATATGTTAGAAAACATCATAAAAAGTATTGAGTTTTTGGATCTGTTAACCAATCTGTCTCAGAACATATGTACTTTAAAAAGTAAATAAGAAGACAGTAAGTAGATAGGAAATATGTGGAAAATATAATGAAGTGTTAATTGCATTATCATATGAGTAGCAGTAGTGATGGTTGTGGTAATAGTAATAGTTGTAAAAGTTAACATATATTGATCACTTAGTGCCACTGTTCAAAGATTAGATAGAGAGATAGATACTAATTTAATACACACAACGACCTATGAGGAGGGTAGTATTCTTATCCAGTTTCACAGATGTGAAAACTGAGACATAGAGGATTTAGGTAGCTCGTCCAAGACCATGAACTGGGGTAGTTTGGGTACAACCAGGCAATCTACCTATCTGTACAGACCATGTATTTTAACAATAAATAAATGGACATAGGCCCTAAGTATATAATTCAGCAAGAGAGAAAATTCTAGTATTAGTCATAGTGAAAGGGAAAGCTTAGACGAAGAGCCCGAACACCAGACAATAAGCAGTTCTTAAGTTTGATGAAGGAGATATATGCAAAGAATAAGAATAGGTCCAGTAACTGTTAACCAGCATGTTCTCATAACTTATCTCATAACTTGGACCTTGGTATAGACTCCTCACGAATTGGGCTGGGCCACATGTGAACTCCTTTTGCACCTCTGGACTAAGACCCAGGCTAAACACAGGCCCCTTTGCACTCTGGTCCCTAGTCTCTGTATCCTATCTCGTATCCAGTCTTGGTCTTTGAAATCTCACCACTTCATAGTAAGAACAGGCATAGAAATATGAGATCATGGAAAATAAAGAAAAAAAAAAAACCAACAGGATTTTTCCCTAAGGCTTAGGATAGATTGCTAAAGATACCAGTCCTAGGCCTTCCTAAAAAGGAGGCTGGGGAAGTCAATTGGGGAGGTGGTCCAGGCTTGGAATAATACACCATAGGGAGTTTAAAGACAGAATAGCAATCCAAACAGGAAAAGGAATCTCTGAGTACTAGCATCAGGGAATAAAGAATTTCTTGGATTCTCAGATCCACCACATCCCCATATCGATGGCCCAATTATATCAGAGGCCTGACTCATATCAACATCTTCCTCAGAGTAAGGGGTGACCTTGAGCTTCCTGTTAAGGCCAGAATTAATACATATAACCCATATTTAACTGTGCTGTCTCAAGACTGACATAAGCACGGTGTTGCATACAACACAAATAAGTTCAACTGCCTAAAAGATGTAAAAACTAAGAAGTTTTTACTGAAATCTCTCAGAGAGGCTTAGAGAAGAATTATACTATGTGAACTCGTAAAAATTTCCTAAAATCCACTTTACATTTTTCTGTTCCCCAGGGTCCCATTTATTAGAGCAACTGCTTTCCTAGAACCTAGCTTCTCTCTCTTCTACCCAGACTGTCTCTCAAAAGTGCCAGCACAAGTTGGCTTATCTGTCTCCTATTACTCCCCTGACTTTCTGGCTTTTATTTCACAAAAGTCTCCATATCATTTCTAAGGTAAATGGAGTTTCTTCAGTTCTGTACAGGTCTACACAACACAGCCCTGGAAGAAGAGCAGGAAAATGCAGAAACTATCTTAGCATGCAGGATTTAGATAAAGAGTGTAAATATATATATTTTTTTTACCTTGGCACAAAAATGTATGGAAACTGTCTAAGCTTACTAGAACTGAAGAAATGCAAAAGGAAAGAACAAGGTATCCCCTCCCCATTAAATTAACACCAACAAAAAGATTTTAATG